ATTATTTAACAGTGAAACATTAATCTGAAACGCATAATTTCATTATCAACAAAAAATAACAAGAAAACGAATTTTTAATTTTAATTTAATAAATGATATATTTCTTTATTTTTCCCATCTCTTCATACACGTATCTCTCTGTTATGTTACGTGTATATACTTATCTGTGCAATATATAAAACAATATATTATGAACCTTAATAAAAATAAATTTATAGAGATAAATATTGAGCGGTGTAAGCATAACATAACGGAGATACGATATATTCATGCATTTCGGCGTTAATAATTTGTATATACAATTATATAAATATATTATTGTATACACGTAATAAAACAATTTATAATAACATTTAATTCAATTTTATATTTAAAATTCAAAAGTGTTAAAGTCGCGTTAAATTTTAATTTTACTTTCAGTTTAATGCTACCATATATTTTTCTCATTATATTTAATATTCATACTTTCAAACATAATTAACAATACAAATACTTAATCCAAGAAAAAAGAAAAGCAGTAACTAAGAAAAAATTGGTTGTGTATTCATCGTCTGAAATACAATTAATGTGCTAATGTTCCTTCCGAATTACCGCACCTTCTGTACGCGCGCGTTCGTCATTATCGACTCAACGTCGGTAAATTCACCACTCTACTATGACCCAGCGATTCATTGCTGTTGACTGTACACCTCGTCTCCTTTCCTGCGCAGCACCTTTTCCACGAGATACACGTCCGGATACGTCGCGCGATGCAACTCGTGCTTGTAGAACCCCCCGGCGACGGATTTTCCGCGATAGTCCTCGAACAGATAGGTCACGGGATTGGTACGCTGTACTTTCGCGATCTTGAACACCTCGGTGGTCTAATTCGGCGTGTAACCCTTCTCGAAAATCGTCTTGTACTTGCTCACGCGTACCGAATTGCCCACTTTGAATCTCGCTGGACCTGCGATCTTTATCGCGCTGTACACCGTTTTCAAGAGTCTGAAGTCTCTCGGCGATCGCGGGAGCACGGCGGCGGGGCGCATGCCGATGGTGCGATGCTTGCGCGCGTTGTAATCCGATACGAGACCCGGCAGGACGTCGACCCACTTGTACGCGCCGGTGAGCGTAAACATCTTCCAAATATCGTTCTTGAGCGTGCGATTAAATCTTTCGACTATCGATGCCTTTAGCACCGAATACGTGGAATAATGATTGACATTGCGTTTCCTCAGGAGTTTCTGCACATCGGCGTTTTAAAACTCCTTCCCCATATTCGTTTGCAGATTTCTCGGACATCTTCCACTCTCGCGAATTATCGGGGCAAGAGCGGCAGCCGTCTCGTTTCCGCTTTTGCTCCTGAGCGGCACGGCCCACGCGTACTTATACTTGCTCAATGCATCGATGACGGTGAGTATGTAGTGGTAGCCTCTGTTGTGGCACGAGTACGAGCGCATTTCGACGATATCGGCCTGCCACAAATCGTCGTAACCTCGAATTACGACACGTTTTCGCGGAAAGTTTTGTCTGGCCGGAGCGTGCAACTCCTCGACGAGTCGTCGCCTCTCGACGCTGTTCCGGCCATTGA